ACCCACGGGAGGTGGAAAGGGGCAGCCGATGGCTATAGCTGTCTTGTTATTTCCTTGCACTAGGAAAAAGCTCGTGCCAGAAGGGGCTGTTTCTTCTCCTTGAGAGATGCTCCCTTAATCCCAGCACGAGCTTTCCCTATTTTAGTATGGCTCTTGCAAGCACAGCTCCAGCTGAGCTAGCTCCAGTCCCTCTTTCAGTCCTCTCACTAAATGTTTGCATTCAAGGCAGGGGAGAAAGTATTTTGGTGGAGAAGGCCAGAAGGAAGCAGGGAAGATGGGAACAGCCCCAGTCACAGCTCAAGTGAGCTCTGGCGGGGGGTACAAAAAAGCCCCCCAGGGTTCCTGCCACCACCCAAGGCACTTTTAGGCTCTCGGCCTTTTTGCTCTTACAAGTGCCTTGGGTGCTGGAGCTGAGCTTATGAGAAGACTCTGGTCCCTGAAAGGGAATCGCTTGCCATTTTTGGGGTAGTCGGAGTTGGTGCAGACACAGGCTGTGCAACTCCCGGGCTGCTCTGTTTGGGGAAATGGGAGCCTGCCCCAGTTCCTCAAGGAGAAAAGTTGTGTCCTTCTTGCGATGCAACCAATGCAGTTGAGGTCAAACCACATCTTTTCCTCCTGCCCCATCCAGCGGTTCAGGCTGAAACAGCACTTTGCTGTTTGGAATAACTCAAACAACGAAATACAGCAACATCATGGACCTCAAAACCTGAAGCCCTCCAAAAGGGGCAGCTGCTGCTTTACCTCCCTTTACTGGGGCAGGGACGTGGTGATGGCTGGGAACTGCCAGCCAGGCAGGGCCAGAGAAGCTCCTCGCAAGGGCAGCGGCCCGGGAGAGGAGGCTGCTCTACCTCTCGGCTATATGATCAGAGTGATGCTGGGGGCAGGCACAAGTTCTGGGCTGTCTCGCTGACTTTCTGCTAACGCTTCCGCAGTGCAGGATATGTTAGAGCTAAAACCAAACACAGTTCTGTTTCCCCCATCTTGCAACCCTTCTTTGGCAGGCAGTCCTGCGCCCAGCCCTCGCTTCGGACTGCTCTCAGGCTGAAGCAAGGAGCGCATCCCCTCTGCCCACAGCCTGGACACTGTGCTGCAGGCAGCACTGCCAGGGTTGGACACCTCAGGTCTCCAAAGAAGAAAGGCATTAGCCAGCAATTTGCTTCTGCCGAACACTGCCTCACTTGGCCACAGCTCTGCCAGGAGAATGAGTTTTTAGGGGCACCAATTGCTCCCAGCAAACTTCCCTGCTAGTAACTGCAGGGAAACTAAAGCAAGACAAAAAAAAAACCTGAGCAGCAGAAGGTGTCAGGTTTAGAGAGTTTGGGTTTTTCTTTGCTTACCAGCTTCTCTGTCCTCCAGTGCCAGGGTCTGCATGGAAAGCAGGATCTAGCCAGGTGCTCCTGCCGCTGCTGAGCATCCTCCCTGGGCCGGGCTGGGCTCCGGGGGGTCGCAGCAGGGAGGGCTAGATCCAAGGGAGCAGCTCTGCACTGCTGCTACCCGCCTGGTGATCTCATCTGGGACCCCCCCGCCCCCGAGCAGCCTGAAAAGGAAGGTGGAGGGCTGAGATGGGCCAGGACCCATTCTCTCTCCTTTTCCTCCCTCGGGCACGGGGCTGTGCGGTACCTGCAGAGTATTTCAGTTGAGCCCGCAGAAGGCCTTAGGGCTCAACTCTACCTCCTTGGGAGGTGCTGGCAGTGGCTGGAGCCCCCTGGCAGCTCTCCCCATGGCATTAGTGCCTGGGGGGCCCAGGGCACTGAGCAGGGGCTGGGTGGCCCAAGGGGAGCCTAAGCTCCTCCCGGGGGGGGGACATTTCCTGCAAGGGCAGCAAACCAGCGATGTCCTGGCATCAGAGGGTCAGCACAGGGCTGCCCCGCACCCCACCAGCCTCCCTGACCCCCTGCCTTCTCCCCCAGCCCTTCTCCTTGGATTGCCCTCTGCACCCCAGCCCTTTCCCTTGCTGCTCCGTGGGGTCACTCCTGCCTGCCTCCCCCTGCGCAGTGGGCCTCTCCCAGACCCCAATGGTCGCTGTCCAGGGCTGCCCTCTTCCCAGCCCTGTCGCAGCCAGGGCCCTTCACCTGCCTTCTGTCTGTTCCTTGGGACCTCCACTCCTGGAGGGAAGCCCAGGACTGCAGCTGTGCATGGGGCTTTAGCCTGACTTGCAAACAGGACTTCTGCTATTTCCTTTCTACCCTGAGAAAGAAGATTGGGCTTAGCTCTCTACTTCATAGCTTTTCTATTTTCTTCTTTTTCAGTCTTGAGGGCAGGTCATGAGCTTTGTATCTCTTTTGTAGGACACAATGTCATCAGAGGAGGACTTTCCAGAGGACAGCATCTTTTCTCCTGGAGCCACTCACACTGGGCAATGCTGCCCAATGTCTCTGGAGACCTGATGTGACCTATCTACCTCAATACATTTGACAATGTCCTAAATAGCCTTTTGCTTGCATGGGTTTTGTTTTGGCTGGATTTGGAAATGGTCAGCAACCAAAGCCAAGCACCTACTCTGCAAGTGGCCTTTTGAGTTCATCATTCACCAGGTGCAAGGGGAAGCCTTCTAGCCTTCTCTGATGGAATGACTGGCTGGGGAGATGAGGGCAGAGCAGTGGATGTTGTCTCCCTGGACTTCAGCAAGGCTTCTGACACTGTCTCCCATCACATCCTCCTAGGTAAACTCAGGAAGCGTGGGTTGGATGAGTGGACGGTGAGGTGGATTGAGAACCGGCTGGATGGCAGAGCTCAGAGGGTTGTGGTCAGTGGCACAGAGTCAAGTTGGAGGCCTGTGGCTAGTGGTGTCCCCCAGGGGTCAGTCCTGGGTCCAGTCTTGTTCAGCGTATTCACTGATGACCCGGATGAAGGCACAGAGTGCACCCTCAGCAAGTCTGCTGATGATACTAAACTGGGGGGAAGTGGCTGACACACCAGGAGGCTGTGCTGCCCATTCAGAGGGACCTGGACAGGCTGGAGAGGTGGGCGGAGAGGAACCTCCTGAAGTTCAACAAAGGCAAGGGCAGGGTCCTGCACCTGGGGAGGAATCACCCCAGGCACCGGTACAGGCTGGGGGTTGACCTGTTGGAAAGCAGCTCTGCAGAGGAGGACCTGGGAGTGCTGGTGGACAACAAGTTAAGCATGAGGCAGCAGTGTGCCCTTGTGGCCAAGAAGGCCAAAGGTGGCCTGGGGGTGCATTAGGCAGAGTGTTGCCAGCAGGTCGAGGGAGGTGATCCTGCCCCTCTCCTCAGCCCTGGGGAGGCCTCACCTGGAGTACTGTGTCCAGTTCTGGGCTCCCCAGGACAAGAGAGACATGGCAC